TACGCAGTTTGAAAAGAAGTTCTTTGGGTGCTTGCTCATGTCCATTAGCATGTAGGTATGTGTGCACTGTGCGCACAATCATCAGAATACTTCTCCCTCAGTGGTATCTGTCAGGTTGCTTCTGATGTCCCCTAGAGTCATGCATAATTTATAGGGACCTGTCCCCCCTCAGTTCCATTTTTCTGCCTTAATTGGTCACTATTTCTTGCTCTCCAGTACTCTCCTGAGTGGATTTCATATATATTTCACTGTAAATAGTTATAAAAATGTTAGTATTCGTGTTTGAAGTAGTTACTAGTTGCTAGAATAGAGTTGGACCCTGTTCATCTGGGTTCTCTCCTGTCTGGCACCAGGAAATTCCTCTCTTTCCAGAGTTTAAACCATGCAAAACCTGCCAGAAGCTTATGTTGATCTGCGATCCTCACTTGGCTTGTCTCAAGTGTATGGGCCAATCCCAACTTCATGATCATTGCAGAATTTGTAGAGGCTTCAAGCCCAGGATCCAAAAAGAAAGAGACCAAATACTTATGTTCCTCCTGATGGAGGCTGCTCTTGATCCCTCAGAGCCAGGTCACCTGACTCAGCTCCAAGCATCTCTGCCTGTGTACGGAGTGCACCAGCTTCTATGAGGGACAGGCACTGAAGCCCAGCCTCTTTGACATCAAGGAAAAATTCCTTGCTGGTGTCACATGACTCCTGAGCCGAATCCTCATTTCCAAATCCTCATGGCCAAAGGCAGTTTCAGACCCATCCTGGACCTGCAAAACCTCAACAAGTTCATGAAGAAACTGAAGTTTTGCATGGTTTCCTTGGTCTCCATTATCCTCTCCTTGGATCCAAAGGACTGGCACGCTGTCCTTTACTTGAAAGATGCATACTTTAACATTTCAATCTTCCAAGACCAGAGAAATTCCTCCAGTTTGTTATGGGTCATGTTCACTATCAGTTCACAGTACTGCTATTTGACCTGTCAGCAACCCTTCCCTCACCTTCCCCCCCCAGCCCGTCTTCACAAAGTGCATGGTAATAGTTGCAGCCTTCCTGAGAAAACAGAGTACAGCCCTACCTTAACAACTGTCTGGTCAGAAGTCAATCAAAAGTCCAGGTGAAGAGGCACATCCAACTAATATTGTCAACTTTCAGAGATTGGGCTTGTTTAACATACAGACATCAGTTCATGTTCCTGCCCAAAGAATAGAATTCACAGGGACAGGGGCTCAAAATGCGTTGGAAGATCATCTCTGCAGATCCTTCTCTTATCATGAGAGGTCCATTCACTCAGATGTCATGATGGATGCTCTCCGGAGATAGGGGACTCACCAGAAAGTCCTGTTTGCAACCAAATACAATAAGAAATACCTGCAATTCTGCTTCTTTCAGAATCACAGTCCAGAAACACTCGTGGGCATGTTCCTTCTCTTAGGGAAGGAGCATCTTTTCGATGGATTCCTGCCCATTCCACTCATTGACAAAGTTCTGCTGAAGATCAAAAAGAACAGAGCACCAGCCTGACCACATCTTAGCATCCTTAACTAGTCTTGTCTTGCTTTGACCATTTTATTGTGCAGTAGTAATTAGGTAATGCTGTTAACTATTAATTATTTCAGAAAAAAGCAAAAGAGAGCAAAAGATGTACTAGCGATTCATATGGTACTTCATTTGATTGATGTGCTTTGGAATTCTTACTAATTCTGACAGTTCAGATAGAGGTGACTTCTTCTAGACACACAAAAATATAGAATTGGAATGTGCCTGTAGGGATAGTCTAATTACTTTCTTTGCATCATCACCTCACTGGTTTAAATCCTCATAATTGATACTAAACAGGTGAGTGTCTGTTAGCCTTGAATATCTCCAGTGCTGACAGTTTTCATAGCCTCTATTTTCAGGTTGTTGTATTGTTCGATTCAGTTTATTCTTTCTGATTATTCATCTTTAATTTTACTTGTTGAAGCTTAAGTCTATTATTCCTTCAGTCTTCAATACCTAATGAGAACCAGTGGCTTATCTGCAATGTGTGAATGCAAACCACATTCTCTCTGCGGCGGTAAGCCCTTGCTCACTCTCATTCATGGACAGTAATGAGGGAGCAAGTGGTGCTGCATCTGGCCACTCTCTCTTCAGTGGCCTAGCAGAGTTAATTCCTCTATAGCCCTTATCCTCCTGCAAATACCAAAGCAATCAGATCTCCATGTGAGCCATTTCCAGGCCTCCTGACTGCAGCTATTAGAAAGAGGAATTGGGAAAAGAGAGGAGAGACTAGGAAGGCCAAAGCACCCTGTAAGAACAGAGAGGGAGAAGACAGAGCCACCCCAGTTGTGTGGAAGTGGAATAGCACCCTTAATGCATAGATGAAGAAGAAAGGAGAATGTGGAGAGAACAAGCTTTTGCAAAGAGTTGCTCTCCTCTGAGCCCTTTCCAGTTCATCTCTTTTATAAAAGTTACTTAACTCAGCACTTAACTTGTATTTTGTGTAATGTTTCACAGTGAAAAATATATTATTTTTCACAATCATTCAAGTTACCTTTCCAACTGTGACATAGTAACAATTAGATTTAGTTCGGTATCTTGAGTAAGGAGCATTTCCGATAGATTGGCCATCAGAAAATAGGTTTTCTCAGAGAACCACGCTAAAGGCCAAAGTGTGGCTGTCTTTAAGATACCTTTATTACCATAGAATAATTATTTATATTAGTCAACTGTAACAATACAGGCTGTAAACCCTATTTTAAACTTCATTTATGGCACACATTCACTAAATAAAAGCAAAGATCAACTTGGGGTATCATTTTCTTTTGGCAAGGAGGTTTTGAACACTTTTTAATGATCATTGTACAGTAGTGTTGCATTATCTATCTTACCCTAGTGGAAGTAAAATACCTATCTTAATTATATTAATTTGTAGTATGCAAATATAGTTTTTCCTCCAGTTGTCAAAAGCTTGGAGTGGATGACATGAGGTTGATAACTTGGTGATTGGAAGTTCTTTTCATTCCCTCTGAAGCATCTATCATTGGCCACTGTCAAAAGAAAGGACATTGAGCTAGACCAGGGCTGGGGAGCCTTTTTGGGGTTGGGGGCTACTGTCCCACAGAAAAATCAGTTGAGGGCCACACACAAGTGAGAAGCAAAAAAACAAACAAACCCTCACTGATGTGGTCTCTAATTGAGAAGCAGAAAGACACTCTCCACATTCTTCTTGAACACCAGAGCCTGAGGGGAGCTCAGACTAATAGATTTTGTATGCTTCAACCCTGCAGACTCACCAGTGCTGCAGGGGAGCCCTGAGCCTCAGGGGCCGGATTCAGGCAAGCTGGGGGCCAAATCCAGCCCCTCCAGCCTGATGTTCCCCTCCCTGAGCTAGACAAACAATTGATCTGATTCAGTATGACTGTTCTTATGTTAAATCAGAGAAGCACAACACAGTAAAATATGTGAAAGGGTTTATAATTAATTCAGCTTCTTATTGACTTCAATAAAGATAAACACAGCTCTTTAGAGTATGGAATTTTTGTTCTAATTGTCATGAATTTGGAAAATACCACATTTCTCAACAGTGGTAGAACCATGAGTGAGTTAGTGTTCAGTATAAATAAATAGCAGCCCTAAACGTTGGTAGCTGTCTTTCAGTTTCTCTCCTTCTTCAGTTTGCAGTTATCACAGATTCGTCTGCTTATTGCCACAACCTCACATCTTCACTGCTATCAAGCAACCTCAAACTTTGAATGGATTTT